AACCTTAGTAATTGCCACGTGGGTTAATTAACCGGGAAAACAGCTCGTCACCTGTAATCTAGCTGAATTGATCCTTTTTAAAAAAGTTTGAAGGCTTAATTCGGTGTTTTAAAGTACGAGGATCTAATTGACTTTTTCGATATAGTACGAGAGCCTTTTTGACAGTTTTCCCAAAAAACAATAAATTTTGAAGCAGCCAAGATGAAACGCCGCCATATGTGGCGTTTCCAACCAGCTAAATTTTTGGTTTCTTGGAATGAACAATTAATTCCAAAAGCTATTTACCAAACATCTTAAATAGCTGGTCAACCAGTTAAAGAGGCTAAACTTAGTCAAACAAGCTAAAAAATGGCTGATAAGCCATTTACCATACATGACCATTATGATGATGTAGGAATGTTTTTCACTAGACCAGATAAGAACAGATCGGACCAGACTTAAATAGACATGACCGGACTTTTATAGTTATAAAATACACAGATACCTGACAATTACCATATCAGAAAAGACTAGATTTAGACATATGAGACCAGATCAATAAATTTCAATCCAAATAAAAATATCTTAATGTTCACTCGGATAATATCACGTCAATGGCAGTGACATATCAAAATTACTTGGTGACATGTTTATATTTTCAAGTTTCCAAAACGTAATCACATCATTTTTATGACTATTTTTTAACAGTATTGCATAAAAATAACCGAATTCAATAAGATGATGTTTTTACTTGGACTGTAATTTCTCTCAGATCAGACCAGTTCAGACCAGACCAGACTTGGATAATTATAAATATATAAAGAAATCAGACCAGACCAGCAAATTATAGTCCAAGTAAAAACATCCTCAATCTGCCTTTAAAAATTGTTAAAGGTCACGGGTTGAAATATTAATCTAATTATTAAATATGTGTATGGGTAGGTTGGGGTATAAACGGAATATCGTGATATTAAACTCGACTGTGGGAGAAGAGTCATAATGGAACAATATGAAGCTTCGGTGTGGACTTTATGCATAGCCGTTCCGTTTTCACCTAAACTCAAATGTCGAATTCAATTAACAAATTCTTTTCAATTTGGTTCGATTATATATTCAAAAATTTGGAATCACGATTTGTTCAGTTCAGTTTATTTTGATTCGGTTTAGTTTTTTTTCGGTTTTTGCCATAATATTTTTTTGGTTAGAAAAAACTCCTTGAAAAAAAAACATAATTAAACTACATTAAACTATATTAAAAAAAGGAGAGAAAAGAAACAAATGCATTTCAAAACAATGGAGTAGATCGAGAGTACATGTATATCAATTTAAATATTTTCTAAATTAATTAAACGCATGAGTTTATTTATGAATTATATATAGTGTATTCGCAAGTTAAATTTTATTTGTAAATGTTGAGTGCTCATTAATTCATTTTTTTTACTAAAAGAATTTTTTCAGAAACTATAAAGTTTAATTTAATACATGTTTGTATTATAAAGTTTCACATTTTCGGCTATATTGTTTAAAATATAGTTTAGATTAATACATATTTGTTCAATATAAAAAATTATGTGATAACAAACTTTAAAACATGTAAAATGTAAATCACGATTTAAAATATAAACATATTAGTATTATAGCAATAGATTTAAGTGTATGTAAAAGTGTTTCACTTAATTAAACCATAAATATTAAATGTCAATATCTTGCAAATCATAATAAATCTAGTGTCAAACATTAATTTTCTAGAATTAAGAATTATGAAATAAAAAAATATTATACTTAATGATTAATAAATAAAATAGCATGTTTTAAAAAGTTTGGTTTGTTCGATTCAGTTTGTTTTTGGGATGTGAAAACTATACCCAAAACCAAACAACTACGGTTCAGTTCGGTTTTTTGAGTTCAGTTTCGGTTTTCTTGTGGTTCAGTTGTTTTGGATGCAATTTGAGTTTTTTCGATTCGGTTTTCAATTTTTAGTTTCACTGAACCACCCCTAGACGTAACAGTTTAAAACCCTTCTCGTTGTACCTACTTTACTCTATTGTTGTACACATATTTACTCTCATCAACCGGTTAGTGACCAGCGAATGAAGATGAAATGCAAAATTTGGATTTTTCTGAATTATGATAATGTGTGATTATTAATTTTCATTTCCCCCTTTTTTAAAATAAAAAAAATACAAGGTGCTGTGTTTCTAAGACACGTTTTCATGATTGGTCGCTGGTAAAGTCATAATATGAATCATTAGGGAGGAAAGATAAGTCATGTTATTAGTAGTGGTCCACTTTTAAAATCATTGCGCAATATTATTAGTTGCCTTTGAAATTGTCTCTATCTTTTGGTATGTTGTCTGAGTATATAGAGAGTCTCGACTCAACTAATATATCACCGGAGAATTTAAATGTCGTATTGTGTCTGCCGTCATTTTTATTACCGTACACTATTATATATTTGTACTATGTATTTGTAATCATTTCCAGTTTTCCACTACTTTCGACGGATTATTTTGTACCGTGTTACTCTAGCCATTTTTTTCTGTCTTTTTCTTTTTCGGTTTCTCGTTCTTAGGAAGATTAAGATCAATTGTTTATTTTCTTAGATTAAAGAGAACTGTTGTACTTTGAACATTAATTTGAGATAGTCAATTTTTCTTTTGAGTATCATAAGATGAAAGACTTTCTTTATTTGTGTACCGAGTATTAATCACGGAGTAAAAAGCGTTTTATGAAAAATGGAGATACATTAATTTTAGTCACGGGTTTTAAAGATCTTTTGATGTAATTCAATATCTCGATTTCTCACTAGAGAAATACTTAAATAAGAGTAAAACATAGGGGACTTTCTCAAATAAGAGTATCAATTTTTTAAAAAAATAACACTCATTCACTTCTACGTTTAAAAGTTTGTATTGTTTTACTTGTTTAAAAATACTACGTATTAAATAAGTCATGTTTTGAAAAAAGTATACTTGCATACTTTCACGTTTTAATCTTACTTTAAACAGTTTCTTTTCAACAGTAAGCGGTTTAATTGGCTAACATCAGCATATAAACGATAGGGTAATTATTACTCCCTCCATCCCGGAAAATTAGTCCCACTTTGACTTGGATCGGAGTTTAAGAAAGTGAGAATAAAGTGGAAATGTATGGTTGTGGTTGAGTAAGAAAAAGGTAAATGAATGTTAGTCACACAAAATTTTCCAAAAAGGGAAATGGGAACAATTTTTTGGGACGGTCCAAAAAGGAAAATGAGACTTATTTTATGGGACGGAGGAAGTAATTGATAACTTGATTATTAACTCCTTATAACTGCTACTAAACATAAATTAGTTAATTTCATGTAGTTTTTGAATAACATAATTTTTTTTTTTTGATAAAGAGGATATAAAAACAATTAATTTTAGAATGGTTACGTTTCAAGAACAATTGAGAGAGCCTCATACTCCGTATTATACTACGTCTCCAAAAGATTATGACTACTCCGTACTACATTTATGCGTGTGGGGAGTTCTATACGGTACTGAATGTATGAGATACATGAGTTTAACGAAAATTTAAAATTAATTAGGCGTACAATTCACCTAATTAACTTTGAATGTAAATGTCACCAGAATTAAAATTTATCCTCTCCATCCCTTATAAATTTGTCAACTATTATTTTTTCTGCATGTCTCATTAACTTTGTCATTTTTCATTATAAATAAACAATTTGTGATTCTTATTAATTTTCTCTCTTCTAAGATCTGCAGAATATCACATTATCAATAACATAATTTTTATTTTATTATTCTTTGAATTAGCTTACTTTGATAAGTTATAAAGAATGGAAATAGTAGTTCTATACTAAATTTGTAATTATAACTTCCTCCGGCTTTTGTAGTGTTAATTATTTTCCATCATTCACTTTTTAAATTCGAAAACTACTCTCACATTTAAATAAATCCAATAAGGTTTTTTACTGTGTTACTTTAGACCCGGTCAGGCAGGGATTCATTTGAAGACAAAAAAATAACACAAGTGTGAATGGTGAGTGATAGTTCGTACGGATTATAATTAGACGGAGTGATATTAAGGGGACTTTCCAGGAAACTCACTTTCCCCAGTATGTATGATTCATCAACGGCGTCCCCAATATGAGTCATCAAACGTGTTGTCATCTTCCACCCACACAAACACTTCAATACTTCGTCTTAAAGCAAAATTAGACATGTGAGTCCATTTTCATGTCTATCTTAACTTGTTTTTCATAGACTTCTTAAAAGAATGTCCTGGTTTGACTTCACAGTTCACATATACAGAGTATTAAGGAAATAAATTTGACTTCACATTATAGTAACAGTGTTTGACACTCTGTTTGGACACTGTTTTACACTGTTTTATATTGTCTGACACTGTTTGGTATATATTCGTTTACCAGATAAGGAAATTAAAGAAGCAGAACTTTCATTTAGGAACCTCCATTTTGGGAAAGTAGGACATTCTTTCAGGGACGGAGGAAGTATTATCCATTATTTAATTAATAAAAAACTTAATACAATGTATATTTTAATATAATTATTCTACTTCCTCAGTCCCTTAAAACTTTGACAACTTCCCTTTTTTGATTGTCCTACTAACTTTTTGAGTTTATCTTTTAAGTAAAGAATTTGAGGTTACGTTCTAGTTAATTCTCCTTCCTCTGCATAAATCTCTACCACACAATTTTTACTTTATTAATTTCTGTGTCGGTTAAACTTGACAATGTTTTAAGGGACGGAGGTAGTATAATTTAATATAATCCATCCGTCCCAATTTGTAAGATACTTTCCGGTTTACGATGTTTCACTGGCGATAAAGAAAATTGATCTCTGTCAACACTCAAATCAGTTTTAAGAAATATAATTTATATATTCAGAAACTATATTAAAACCGCTACAAAGCCTACAAAGAAATAAACTAGATTTCATAAAACTTTAATATATAAAGTAAAAGATTAAGAGTGATTTATGTTGAGCAAGTGAATAAGAAATGTATCTTACAAATTGGGACAGAGCGAGTATTTGCTAGGCTGACAGATCTTCTAGTTCAGGTCTCCGACCACTCGAACGTACCCAAAGAGTTCACCACAAAACTCACAGCCACCACATAATACCACCGAGGACAAGGGAATCACAACAAAATACAGTGAACCTGTTGAGGAAAATACGACCCCCGACCTCGTCCAGGATCACGATATCAAAGGACTATTGTACCTCACATACCTACTCATAACACAAAGACTCAATCTAACAATATCAGTTTGTATCATACAATTGAAATGTACAAGTGATATTTTACAAGTAAACGGGTAGCTCACAATCTCACATCATTCTTTGTATATGGTACTACTTCAGTCTCACACCCCTCTTTCAAAGAGGCAATCACTTACTCAAGAGCTCTCCTCAAAGCCCTCTCTATCACTTGAGGAGACTCTCACAAGACTCTCGCTCAAGGCTCTCTCTAGGCTCACATAAGAATGAAGAGTGTCATCCCTATTTATACTATTCTCTCTAAGACTTCTGTGGAACATCCTATACACCACTACACTTCTAGAGTCTTCCAAGAGGTATCCACAAACTTCTCTAATCTTCTAGAATGATCTAGAAAGCTCCACATCTCTTCATAATGTTCTAGAGACTTTCACACACTTTCACACAATTCTAGATAATTTCACACTTCTCTAGAAAACTCCACAATGTTCTAGAATATCCTACACTCTTCCACACATTTCTAGATAATTCCATGTCTCTCCAGAAGATTCGAGAATATTCTAGAACATTCAATACTTCTCTACACTCTTATAGAGAATTCTAGGCATCTTCACAAAAATCTAGAATTCTTATGAACTTCTCAAATAAGGATGGAACCCAACAAATCTCCCCATACCTACTTAATTGAGAAGTATCAGTCAACCACCAATAATAGCCTCATATTCATACTCACCAGCCTCCACCTTCATGTGAGTTTCTCCCCCTCAAACAAAGCTTGTATCACACCATATGAGCAGCTACGACCAAGGAATGATCATGATCTCCTCTGCAGCAAGAAATGATCCACTAAAGGATCTTGTACCGCCGTTATCTAGTAATGGGACACGCCGCCTGATGACCTCAATATCAGGAAGACTTTTGATACAACGCACTAACAGTAGATCAAATCGCAAGACCAAATATTGTACACGGTGTTCTCATGAAGATCTCCTCTCCATCGACATTTTATCTGTAATTCATCTTGTACCGTCGCTATTTACCAACGGGACACACTGCCTGACCACCACAATATCAGGAAGTCTTTAGATACAACCACCACTAACAGATCTAATCATGAGACCATATTGAGAACCACCCACACAATGCATCTCATCACCCCGCTCCATATATGTATGACCCAAGCTTAAAGTGAAGTCTAACATCCCACAAAGAACATGATCTTGAATGCCTCTGACAAAACTGCTATCATTACGGTAAGACGAGATATATCCCCACGACGAACTATATCTGTTACTTTATGATGTGAGTTTTCTCGCACTAAAAATGATGTAGTAGTAAAGGGTTTAAGTGCGAGTATCGTCTCCACAGAGACGGAAAAAGGGAATCAAGAATTAACTAAACTCAACGATTAAAATAAATAAAATAAATGTGATGTGTGAGATTTCTATTTTTGGAAATTAAACTAATGCAAAAAACAATTAAAATAAATATGTTTTTTCTAATTAATGACGATAAGAACCATGGATTGATTTCGAGGTGATGATATTTTTGGCTGATCAGGCTTAATCACATGAAAATTATTTAATTGAGTAACGCTAATCAATACTAAGTTCTTACCGCTCTCACGGTGTATAGTACAGTAATTTAGAGAAGCAGGTTGATCTCTCATGCGACAGGATTCTAAATTATTGCGAAGACGAGCGAGCGTATGGCTTTTTAACCGTTACTAATCTCTTAATGAAACGATTATGTGTGTGTGAAAGTGTCCTAGAATAAATTATAGCTCTCTTAATTTATTCTATGTGCAGTTATAATCCTATCTGCAGTTCTAGGTTACAAGAGATGTCAATTAAATGATTCAAACACAAATTAATTAAATACTACCTCCGCCCCATTCAACGGTTCCCGTCCACTATTCACATGGTCAACTTAAATCATACTTAATCTTTTGCTTTATATATCAAATTTTTATCAAACTTAAATTTTCTTGATCAGACTTTGTAAAAATTTTAATGTAGTTTCCGAATATATAAATTTTATTTAGTAAAACTAATCAGAGTGTGAACAGGGATCAAGTTGCTTTATCGTCGGTCAAGCATCGTAAATTGAAACGGGAACCTCTCTATGGGGCGGAGGGAGTATCATCCAATTAATCCCTCAAAAATTTTAACCCTAGATCATGATTAACTCCTTCATTAATCCCAAATCTCTAATTAAAACTACTCACAATTCATAATTGTGGAATCAACATAATTGAGAAGAAAAGAATTGATTGTCATTAACAAAAAATGGAATTTACAAATAATCATAGGGTCTTGAATAACAAAGCAGAAAAACTCTCAAAATTTCATCCTCTGCCTCTCTATACGCTCCGTAACCCGAAGACAGGGGTTTAGGGGCTTTATTTATAGAAAACATGGGAAATTCGGGCCAAATTAGGACTTCCAGGTGTGGGCACGGCGCCCAGGCATGGCGTGCCCAGCGTCCGTGCCTGCGGAGCACGGCGTGCCCGACCTCCAGTAGCTCCTCTCCATTCCAGCTTCCGAGAACCGCGTGCCCGATCTCTTCCTTCGTCTGATGCCTTCTGCCACGCACGCACGGCGTGTGTGGCCATATTTCTTCATTTTCGCCCGCTTTCTTGCTCTTTAAGCTCCCGTTCGGTCCCGTGATCAATCCTAGAGCTCTTTTGACTTCAAATCTTCATCGTAAACCTCCCGTTGACCTCCAAAGCTCTCAATCTACTCTCAAATGTGTCTCGACTCATCTCGATTTATCCTCAAACGCCGGTGTCGGGCTCAATTATCCTGATTTTGACTCCAAAAATAGCAAACACAAACCAACGCCCGGTAAAAGATGGCTTGAGCTAATTATGAGACTTGTGACACAATTTAGCTAGGAAAAGCATCAAAAGTCTGTCACCTCTTCCTCTCCTTCGTCACCATTGAAGTTTAGCTCCTCGCTTTCCTCGCTAATCGCCATGTTTTTGTACTAGGTAACTATATCTTCCATCGAAACAAACGCACAAATACTGCCGATGCAAATTCCGTCCTCGAGTTCGTCATCCTGAATCTTGATTGCGCACAGAAATCAGTAGAAACCGCCGACCTTCAGCAAGCCCTCGACCAATCCGTTGTCTTAGATCCGCCTCCCGGGGCTGATCCCCGGTATCCGATAGAGGAAAAAAACCTAGCGGTGAAACCACCCTAGAGAGAGAAATTTGTTACCCTTGTTATTAATAAAGAAATTTTTTTCTTTCAAAAGAATATTAGAATAAAACCTTATCATTTTTTATGATTACATTAATAATGCATAACCTTTGAAGCGCAAATTATACCGTACACCCGGATGTATTATCATCACCGTACATCCGGGTATTTTTGAAATTATTATCAACTTCTACCAGTCCATCGTCCGCTCTGCGCTGCCCAGATTCCTTCTCCCAGACCATTCCTCCGTTTGAGATTAGTTGCAGTCGTGCCTGCTCGTGATAATAGGGACCTCCAGAGCTGCCAGCTCATGCTTAAGAAGTGGGATCCACCATCACCTCAATTTGCTAATTTAATTAGGTTGTGAACATGTTAGATATGCTTAATTGACATTTAATATACGTATATGCTCGTGATAATAGGGACCTCCAGAGCTGCCAGCTCATGCTTAAGAAGTGTTTTGTTTTTCTATATCTCATTGTGTAAGTTACGTATGCTCATTTAATATTCGTTTTATTCTCATTTTAAAATGTCATATCAATACACAAATGAAATGAGTTTTATGTTAAATTCAAATGAGTATAACGTCCAAAATGAATGAACACACAAAAATGCGTTTTTAAATTTTTTGATACACGTTTTGTAAGTTATGTATGCTCATTTGGTAGTAATGGTATGCTCATTTTAAAATGCCATATCGATAATGCATATTTTAAAATTTTTATACTACATTAAATTCGCAGATGTTCAATAAAATAGGCTAGATGCTCATTAAAAGTACATTATTGCTCATTTAGCGGAATCCGTCTGTTTTCGCTTAAATTACAAAAGTGCTACCGAATTTTTTTGGCCTGAATCAGTTACTGGACTGTCTCCCTTAGTTGGGTCGGGTGTACGTACACTCGGGTGTACCATACAGGCACTGCCTTTGAAGTGTCCACGTGGCGTGTCCGTCCAACGCGTTAGTTTTATAGTCTAACAAATACATACAGAGTGTGATTAACTTCATACCATTGTACTTAGTATATACTCCTTCCGTTTTTTAAACAAGTTCCCACTTTCCTTTTTGGGTAGTTCCCAAATTAAGTTCCCATTTCCTTATTTGGCAAATTAACTACATTAAAACAGTGCCAAACAGTGCAAAACAGTGTCAAACAGTATCCAAAAAGTGTCAAACAGTGTCCAAACAGTGTCCCAACAGTGTCAAAACAGTAAAGTTTACCCTCAGTAATTTTTTTTCCTTAAAAACTGTGAAAAGCAATGGGGAACTTATTTTAGAAACGGAGGGAGTATGTGACTTACTACTAACTCAATATGCCTATTCACCATATCCTACATTCACAAATGGGCTTCAGACAACTTTTAGGTCGGTCCAAGAAGAAAATAAATTTCTTCTCACCCCAACTGCATTCGGTTTGGGCCGTTGAGGCTCTAAACCCACAAGATCTATGAGACCGCTCATTTTCACACATCAATTTTTCAATATCACGCAGCCCTTTCCATAAATTTTCATCAAAATCAATTACTACGTATTTTCTATTTTGGCACCCTTTTCTCATTTTCTGTAATAACTATTCTCAATTTTATTACCCCACCTTACCACGCACACATGATTGTTCTTATTTTATGTATGGATAATTATATACGAAGTACATGATACGGAGTATTAAATAGAAAAAGTAGATTACTTTTAATTTAACATTATTCATCAATATTGCCATATTGATATTCCGCTCGTGTGGCACAAACTTTGAAAGTTTTTTAATTTATGTAACACAAGAAAACACTCCATATATCCCAACCTAATTAAATTGATATATCAAGAGTAAGTTGTATTCAGGGGCGGAGCTAGGGGATGCTCAGGCTAGGTCCTGACCTACCCCAAATTAAAAAAATGTCAATATTTTTAGTGTACAAAATTTCGTGTAAAATTTTATCCAATAATATTCTTTGTATCGGTCTACTCTTGATCAGTGTCCTGGCTCCGCCTGACTTGTATTTGATTGGTCGATCAATAAGTACGCAATCACACAAGGAATATTAATGTGGCGGTTTTGGGATAATATTGTTTAATATTGATGGCTAGAATGGGATAGCCACATTCATTAACTTCAGCTATCATATATCTGGCCGGTCCTATACATTTTTGTTTAAGTGTGTATCCCCTTAATTAGAATCCACGTAACAATTGAGGAATGAATGCGTTTAAAACTTTAAATTTTGTTTTATTGTAGGGAAACTATTCATCGTACTACATAAATCATTAATACCTATACTTTAATTGATGGGATTCCACAGACCATGCATGATTTGATCTTGAAAGCGCAATTATTTTATCATAACTAAGTTGTAGAGAAAACAAATATTAGCTTAAATTAGACGAAGTTTAAACCCCTTAATTTATCACAATTTTGTAAAGATGCTAGTCAGGCCCCAGTTCAGCGCCTAGCGTCTCACTAAAATAATTCTAACCTTATTTATTTGATTATTACACAATTCACTACGTAAATCAAAAGTTACGTTTTTCATTATAAAGTTTTGCGATAAGGCTGATAAGCCCATAACTAAGTCTGTCAATGGGTCAGGTCCGGATCGGAACGTAGTGTTCCAGACCTAGACCCGCTAAGTTAATAATGACCCCGACCCGTTACTCGACGGTTCTGAAAATTTGGACTCGAACCCAACGTGTCTCATAACTGGGTCGGGTAGACCCACAAGTATGATATGCACAACATTATAAATATTGTGAAAATAACAAGACATGTATATGAAATGTAAAACATAGTGCGTAAACTTAAAAGGCAAAATATATCTTCACTTTTCAATCAAAATCAAGATTTCTCATAAAAAATAGTACTTTCATCCAATAAAGTATCAGTTCTTGCAGAGGCGTATAACTTTACACTCCATGTCACTTTCTTTGGCACAAAAAACTCGTATAATAGACTAGAAATTAGGTCACAAAAAGATCTCTTGGACTATTGAGAGTATAAAAGCATATTATATACTACGTATATGATAATGATATAATATGGATTAATAATTACAACAAATATTGGGTTCACCTACCGGTTCCAATACACACTTTATCAGGACATATAAACCTTGAACATGTGTATTAGTTTTAGGGTATCTCACTATTTCGATCTGTATCACTTACAAAATATGTATGTATTAGTGAATTGAAGAATTACAACTAATAACTTTATGCATTATTATGTTTATATGTGTATATATATAGTACAAAGTAGTTTGTATTCTTTTATTTGAAGTATTACAACTAATCACTCTATGGAGTAGTGTGTGTGTGTTTACTAGTAAGAAATTTTAAACGAGTTTGATTCTTTAACGGGTCGGAATCATAAGTACTATATCTAACCCGTTTATTGAAAATACAAACAGGTCAGGATAAACAGAATAAAATATAGACTCATACCCACTAAAACCAACCGGGTCTGGGTCTAGACCCGACCCATTGACAGGCCTCCCAAAACCACATCAAACGAGCTCCAAATGGCGTTAGTCCAGAAAAACGTCGACCCAATACAAATTTCATTAGTCCAGAAAAACAGGCCCATTTGTGAATAATGGGATGCCTGGACAAAACAATGGAGCCATTAAAGAGTACCATGTAGAGCCGACCACGAAGTGAGACAGAGGAGCAGCAGTAACCATTAAAGCTCTTTAAGTAAGTTTTTTTGGTTCACTGTGAATACGTAAATTCATTTAAGCGAAAATAATGAACTCTGCTCTGTTTGGATCTACTATACCAGCAGACTACATTGGGATATTAAATAGAGAGAAATGGATTAAAATGGATTAATAAGATATTTGGAACTTAGGTTAAATTACCTGATTGATTAGAATTAGTTATTGTAATGTGGTTTGGTCGGATTTAGTTACGTGACTCGAATTGAATATTCAAATTTTGGGGGATCTGAATATCGAAAAATAATTGGAGGTTCTGCCGTGGTAATTATTTTTATGAATTCTTAATTTCGTCTGTTTTAGATGCATACTGATCAGAAGAAATGTCAAGAGTTAGCTGGGTCGTCCTCTTTTTACCGCAAGATATATTCTGAAGTAAGTGGAATAAGTGATAATGAGTTAGATAGTTATGCTTTTATACAAGAAATGAGCTGAATAAATGTGTACAGGTAGAAGAAATAGGGTGGGGAAATCTTGTTAGATTGGGAGAAGATTTGACATCTCTTAGTTTCCGCATAATGTAAGTATTTTACTGCTGTTACTTGCATCTACCAGTAATAAATCAGTAGATTGTATCGTGGAAAGAACCCTGAAGTTACTTTGATGTTATTGTAGAGACAAGAAGGGAAGAACACATATGATGGGGATAGAACTCGATAAAGCCTACCCTAAATCTCCCCCCTCAGTATTAGTGGTTGGTTTCTTGTATTGTTGTGATTTCTTGTAATTTGATCATAATAGTAATCGTAATCTAATTACTTAGGATGTGCCTTGCGTCTTCAATTTGCAATGGTCGGTAAACTCCAAGCTAAATGATGTTCTGGATCAGTTTAGACAGGTATGTATTGCTGTGTTTGTAGGGTATGCTTGGATCCTTAAATGCAATGGAAAGGTAAACTTCTTGTTTTCTTTTGTTTGGTTTATCTTGGGAAATGGAAGTGATCATTGAGTCTGTACCCGCTTAGTAACTCATTGTTTTGATTTATTGGACTTATCAACCATACTTGTGTGAGATACTTGTGTGACTGAATTGCTGAAGTGGATAGTTTTAGTTTCTTTTCATATAACTTTTTCATTATTTAATTTATAAAGTATGTCTTCAGTATAATAATTTTATAATTTCGTCAATTTCTAGTGTTACTAAATAGCCTCTTTAAGTCTATCTCTATCCCTCCCTCTATTTTCTTTCCTTATATCATTTTCTCTCTACTTTTCTTCCTCTTTTCTCTTCCTAGTATTCCAGGATCCAAACGGACCCTTAAATTTATCTCTCTTTGTTTAGATTGTTATATGCTTTATACAATCTTATCTTGAAATATTTAGTCATCATTTTCTTATTAATAAATGCTTTCAGCATCTGGATAAGTTTCAACCCTTTTGGTCTACAGTGGATGAAATTGACAACTCTCTTCAGGTTTCTGGGCCTAAACAAACATCTTTTGCCACATCATATCGCCAAATAGATATAGGTATTATTATTGAAGACAGGGAAATTTATTATAAAGAATTCACCCATAGGTTTTCTACATCCTACTGAACTCCTTGCTTCTTTTATAGGCAATGGTTGTTATCTCATCTTGTTTATTGATCCAAATGACCCGAATGCCCTGCCAGAGTAGGATTTTTATAAACAATATTCCTTGATGCTTTTGTTTAGTGCAAATTATAAGTGGAATTTTAATTACTGGTAGGTGCCGCTTTATTGGTCCAAATTCTGAGGTCAATGTACTAGTAGCATCGTGGAGGACAAATTGCCAAAGATGGTTATGTTGCACCTATTTGTTTATTGTTTGTTATGCATATTTTGTACTCACTCCGTGTAAGAGAAAAGAGTTTTGCTTTGTCAAGGTACAATTTTAAATATAGGAAAGGTGCAATTCTTGTCCCACTTGAACTTTATCAAAATCTTTTGTTGGTTTGATTAAATTGATCATATTTAGCTTGTCAATGACTTTTTCTTTGAAATGTTATATCGAAAACTAGCGTTTTTAGCAGAATGTTTTCATGGTACGGAGGGAGTATAAATTTGATTGGTAATACTTGAACTATTTCAATAAGATCCTTCAATTGTAATTTGAACTTTGAATAGGACTACAGACAAACTGTTTGTTGAGAATCTCAAGAGCTTATTGAAAATCCAATTACCCAGACATTCTCAAGAGCAGAAGAGTGATGAGCTGCCTGAATGCGGGATTTGTTATTCACAATATCTCCCAGTTGGTAATTCCTACATTCCTTGTGGTTATTAACTTTGCATCATATCAATCTATTATCAAGCGAGTGATCAATGTAGACGATGAGCTTGGAAGTGATAGTGGAAGTGGCACAGATTATAAATGTCAAAATAACAGCTGCCAGAAGGCCTTCCACAGCATTTGCCTTTTAGATTGGCTTCGTTCCATCACAACAACGAAACAGTACGTTATCCTGCTTCTATGTTTCTTTAGTTTACAATGAGAATTATGGAATGTGATAGCTTTGAGGAACGATTGATAGAGTACCCTCAAAAGAATAGTCAGTTTTTTTGTGCTACAATTACACAGATCATAGATAGATTGGTTAGGAAAAAAAATTGTCTATTTTGCATGCTATTTAGAGCTCGTTTGGTAACCTGGTTCAGCCTATTTGATTGTCAACAGAATAGTCAGAATAGATAGGTTATGACTTACTCCTTATTTGACTGGAATGGATGTTACCAAACACTTTTAGCTCTAGAAGTTTTAGCAAGTTGACCCATATATGCGAAGTAATCCTTACCAAATGGCTCAAAAGTCACCATCTCATTGTCCATCTTATCTGTTCATCAAGGTATCAAATGGATTACTCTTTTTCCTTTGGACTTGTATTATCATTGTTTAGCAGGATTTGGTTCAACCTTTTTTCTTTCTTTTATTAGAATTGTCAAACAATAAAAACACGCCGTCCAGATCCGGCTTTTCTAACACGGTACATGATAATTAATTGCATTTCATGTTCCGTTTTGCAGGTCATATGATGTTTTGTATGGTAGTTGCCCTTACTGCTCAGATCCTGTTCGAGTCAAAATCAACTTCGCCAGCAAGTAAAACAGTGTAATGTCGTTTAGTATTGCTCATTGATAATCCATTTCCCAACATTAGAAATTTCATTAAGTTGACCGCATATTATTGTAACCACCAGTAAAAGATAAAGTTAATCCGTCTCTTAGATAATTAATTCAATTTAAAAGTTAAAGTTAAATCCTTGCTATTTCAATGTAGACAATGTAAATTGTTTTGAAAATCTAAATTCCTAAATAAAAGTTTGGAACTTTCTTACTCCGTAATAAAGTACTCCCTCCTTCCTTTAGAACCTAGTCAAGTTTGACTGACACAAGTAATAATAAAGTAAAAATTGTGTAGTACAGATTTGTGCAGAGGAGAGAAAATCACAAGGAAACACCAATTCTTTAATTAAAAGGGAAAATGACAAAGTTAGTGAGACAACATTGACAAAATTTTGAGAGATGGAAGTAGTACAATAGGAATATTACATGAGATTATTAAATATTATTGTTTTTTCCGCAGCCAGCTTTTCCCCTTAAAACTTTGCCAAAGTTGACCGGCACGGAGAATAATAAAGTAAAAATTGTGTGGTTGAGGTTTGTGCAGAGGAGAGAGAAATAACAGATACCACAAAATAATTGATTAAAAGGGAAAGTGGCGAAGTTTTTTGGGACGTCCTAAAAAGGAAAGATGTCAAAGTTTCAAGGGACGGAGGGAGTAGTTTTTACAGATATATTTCAATTTTTGGAGGGGTTTGTTATCAACCCAAAAATTAACACCACTGAGACCAAACCATCTTTTTTTCAGCGCATTTGAACTATTTTGGAGACTTCTAGCTCACCGCCATTGGACTCGTTGCATTCTCAAATCCTCAATTGCTGTTTTCTCTGTGGGTGTTTATCTTTTTGTCTATGTCATGCTCCACCGAAGCTCATAAATCTAGTGTTTAAACTTAGCATCTACAGCAATGAGGTTTGTATAGAAAATAGTTGCAGTATTAAGCATTATAATTAATGATGATATTTTTCAATCATGACATTAATGACTCCTATTTGTGTAAGAAAAAATAACAGTCATATTTTGAAATTTTGAAACCTGTTTACTCCTATTTAGAGCAATTTCCCCTAAATTAACTAATACTCCGTATAAACTTTCTTTACAACTCCTATTAGTACCATTTTATTTTCTTGTTTCCAAAGTATAGTTACTAAAATATACTAACCCTCAAAACTTAACACATGGTTTTGTTCGTTTTTATCAACTCATCTGGATCAGGTCTAAACCGTCCAGATATTACTAATTTGACAACTGAAAAAATTGTTGTGCAGTGTTGGCCTTTTAAGATGTTCCGTGTTTCCTAAACGGTCATGTAGTTTATACTTTATGGATCCTTGTTTATAGATGTTTATTTTTTATATTCTGAGATATCTTTTCTAGATTTATGTTGTGTATTTTGTAGATTGATAGATCAAATATACCTGTAGAGTTGTAGAAATAAAATTAACTCTGCTGCTGTCTGCTGAAGCGGTCTGCGAATCAGATAGCTCATGATCTTGCTAGGGCTATTGTTTATTTGTCTGATCGCTGGGTGTGGATTTATAATTTCCCTCCTTGTATTAAAACTTCATTGGACTTTGATTTTATTAATAATATTTAACTAGGTTTCCTTAAAAAAAGAAACTCTGCTGCTAAAATCTTATTAATAATGCATAATAGTAATAGCTCAACCCTTAATCATTTAAAAAAGGTATTTGTAATGGTGTTAATTGAACAAATCAAATATAGTGTATGAACTCGTCAATTCCTAAAAATAAAGCAAAGAAAATATATTACACTGATATTGTACAACTGAATTTCATCCCAATGTGTATTTAAATTTAGAAAAATTGATCGTAATAATCCCGACTATTGGTGGTCTGCTCATAATAATTCCAACTATCGATTATTTCAGAATAATCCCAACTTTAGGGACCTTCCGCCAATAATGGTCAGACGTGACTGACTATCATAAATTCCTATAGTTTCTAAAGAGATATATCATGTAATCCCTATAAATAATCCTAAATTTTAATTTTTACGCTTCATTTCTATTAAAAATTCACTTGTTAGAGCATGTAATATGCGATCATGGACCATTATTGGCGCACGGTTCATATAGTTGGGATTATACAAAAATAATCAATAGTTGGGATTATTGTTAGCGGATTGGTAGTAGTTGGGATTATTATTTTCATTTATTCCTTTAAATTTTCGTACGCTTCAGCACCATGAAAAAAAGTTTAACTTGCTAGACATGAATTTCTTCATTGTTGCTCATATGGAGGAAATTGGGTTGGTAGTGTCAACCGCAGTCCCGCTTTGTTAGAAAATGAATCTTAGACCTTAGACCCTATTTGAAAATGCTCACAATCACACTTATTATTTTTCTTTTTCTTATTATAAATTTAACAAAGTTTATCGTGTTCCATAAGTTACATAACTTACATTAAACTACACTAGTCTTACATATTTTCGTACACAGTTTGAACTTTATTAACACAATTACACCCAACATATAGATGGAGTATATTATCACATACCCCGAGGGTATAGAGACAAGTAATCTAGAATTATATTGGGGTAGAGGTCATCTACATAGTGACTGGCTGAGGCCCAACGTTGAGGCCAGTATCATAGTTTAGGCCCGACTCCTCATTGACGAGCATGTTCTATTATGCGTCGAGTTATATCAACGAGGTTGAACATGATTATCACCATGCCAGGATTGCGCACCGATGCCACTCAATGAGGTCAAACGGATCTGATCTGCCTTAGCTTGATTACAGTTCCTACACTTAACTGTTTTTCGGGCGTTAGACATGCATATCAAGAGCTTACGTCAAAACTGCTATTGCTAACATCACAATCCGATTTCTAAGGGCTGACTTCACTGTTTACATTAGAGTCTAACTCTCAAAGGTTGAACCATCGATGACATCATCCTACATCAGCATGACACACTGATTGACATCACCATGCATGTCCCCCACCCAAGTCTACCAAAGGTCACTCGTCGTCTCCTCATTATCTAATAGTTTTGGACTCGGGGTTCAATCCTTGTATTGTGCCTATAAATAGCACCTTTCCTTTGAGAAAGAGATCCAAAATGTATTGCTTGTACTGTTATTTTTCCAAATTTAATACATAACACATCATTTGGTGCTTTTGAAGAATGGCAAAAGTGAGGTGCGATGCCCACCTTTCCTTCCCTTTCAATGTAACAAAAGCATCCAAGATTCTTGTGGCCGGAAATCATGCTCATAACTTGGGACACCAATGTAAGGCTAGACTATTGAATGGAAAGACTTTAAAGATAATGATGGCACCATTGATAACCCGGGCTTTCTCAACCCGGATGGCTAAATAGTTACCATTTTCTCTTTTCTCTTTTCATATATATATGTAAGGTCCCGAAAATTAAAATAAGAGAGATATTTAATGAAGAATTTAGATTGAAAACCTGAAGTCTTTCTTTCTTCTATTTTTCATTTTTACAAGGAATCATTAAAGCGCTGATAAGTCCGTATTACAACACGCATTTGATGCATGTTGGGATCGGTTTTTTATGTTTTCCCTAACTTTTAGTCGTCACAAATCTCAATTTTAGCTCAAGTTATGTGTACCAGGCGTCGGTTCGAGTTTTGTGTTATTTGGAGTCAAAATCAGGAATTTCGAGTCCGGCACCGGCGCTTGAAGAGAAATCGGGACAACTTGAGAAGCATTCGAGAGTGAATTGATAGCTTTGGAGGTCATCGGGAGGTTCACCAATGAAGATTTGATGATAAAAGAGCTCTAGGATTGGCTACGGGATCAAAAGAAGACAAATAGAGCTTGAAAACGTCGTTCAGAATGTCCTTATGTCAATCGTTCAAACATATCTCTTTGTAGAAGCATCTAAAGGACACGATTCAAGTTGAATATGAAAGCCAACTCCAAGGGCTATAAATCATATGAAGACACGATTGCAAGAATCTGAGAAGAAGAAGGTGAAAACAGACGATGAAGTCAGATGATCCCTATTGCGTTTTCAGAATGAGACCTTCCACCATTTTATTAATATCTCATGATTGGATGATTTAAATCCAATTCTTCAAGTGGTGGTGGATAGAGGACTTCATTATCTACAACTTTCATGAAGGAAGTTTTGTAAAATTCGAACTAGAGAAGCCAGAAAACTCACTGGCAGCCACGCACGCGTGTGTGTGGTGGACGCATGCGTGCGTCCAACGTTTTTTACGCGCAAGTCTGTCGGACGCACGGACGCAACGCACGCGTGTGTGGGCGCCGTGCGTGCCCCCTGGAGTCCTAATTTCGCCCGAATCGCTCCGATTTTACTATTTAAACAGCCTGTAAATCCCCATTTTGAAGGGGGAGCTTAGAGAGAGGCCTAGGGACGAAATTTCTTCTACTTTTCTATCTTGTTCTTCAATTTCCTTGGATTATTTGTAAGTTCCATCTTTTTAATTAATGATAATTAATTCTATTTTTCCCAATTCTATTGATTCTTCAATTATGAGTTGTGAGTAGTTTTAATTAGGGATTTGGGATTGATGAAGGGGTTAATCATGATCTATGGCTACTTTCTTGATGGATTAATTGCATGAATGCCGTTTAATTTGTGTTTGAATAATTTAATTGCAATCTTTTGTAACCTAGAACCGCGGCTAGATTTATAATTGCTTGTAGAATTAATTAAGAGAGATCTAATTTATTCTGAGACACATTCACACACACTTAATCGCTCGCTAAGAGATTAGTAGTGATTAAGGGGCCGTAAGCTCGCTCGTTTTTGCAATAATTTAAGATCCTGTCACATGAGAGATCAGACTGGTCCCCTAAATTATTGTACTCTACGCCGTGAGAGCGGTAAGAACTTAGTATTGATTAGCTAGGCTCAATTAAATTAATTTCATGTAATTAAGCCTTATCTGCCAAAAATCCAATTACCCCAGAATCAATCCATGTTCCCTACTGTCATTAATTAGAAAGAACCCATTAGTTTAATTTCTTTTCTTTTAATCGTTCATTCGCATTAGTTATTTTTCCCAATCAATCAAATCTCGCACGACACATTTATTTTATTTATTTTTAATCGCTGAATTTATTTAATTCTTAATTCCCTTTTGTCCGTCCCTGTGGAGACGATACTCGTACTTACACCACTATTCTACAATCTATTTTAAGTGCGAGAAAACTAACATCAAGCGCCGTAAAGACAAAAATTGACCCTTCAACACAGGTTGTATACGATGAAAATCCAGATGCCAACGTTGTGAAATCCAATGGTTTCAGCCCTCGTATGCAAAGATGTATGGCGATAGCATGAATCTTACCATAGACAATGTTTGTGGGGAAATCAAGTGTGCGGTGATTGTGATTTCGGGTCTCCCCGTTGTGATTGCGCCATACCTTGGAAGAAAAGTTGTTCTTATTGTGGCATGGCTGCCCAGAACCAAAGGCAGGGGGTCACTGATGCCTTGTTTGGGGATTTCAGATTCACAGGCATGCTTGCCCGAATATGGTTCAAGAACACTATCCATTTTGTTTTTCCTTTTCTTTTCCATATTAGAGACATCAAACCTTGGGCTTTTTAGCGCATCATTTCATTAGATCATATGAACATTGGTTTTTTATCATCACTGGCAAATCAAGAACACTTACTATAGGAATGAGAGGAAGCATAGTGTGTGGACTAGAGTTTGCAATTTCTTTGGTGGTATCTTAATTGAACATTGTTGAACACGCTTCATGCCCGCCATCTATTACTCAATACTTATATGCATAAATGATAATACATTTTGGCTCGTGGTTTAAAAAATGAAATTTTAAATTTAATTCGATCTTCATGGTTTGCAATATGTTGTTGTCGATACTTTTATTTAATAGCTCACTTGTTGGTCCCTATTACAAAGATTATGATCTAACAACAATATAACAATATAACAAAGAGAGAATCACAGAATAATATGACAATATGATGATCGTTGAAACCCTCTCTCGTATACCATGGAAACCTTTACAGAATAATGTTAGCGCTGAATGAAGTCCGAAGGCGCCTCTAGAATGAATATTCCGATGATTTCCAGGCGCGCACGTGATTCATCTTCGGTACACGAGTATCTGACCTTTGTCCCCTCCCCAATGTAGTCTTTTTGACTATTTGAGGTGAATGCTTTTGAGGAGACCTTGTCGGTGGCACAGTGGAAAGTTATGGTTGACTTGTGAGCGTAGCTAACCATTTCATTTGAGGCTAGCTTGGCAATTGAGTTGTAGAGACAGTAGAGAAAGTGTTGAGGAGAGAAGTGTCCAAGAATGATTTGTTGAGAGTTAACAACATGTGGACCACTCTCCCCCTCATGACGATCCGATGAATCGGGGCATCATGCCTTTATTCTAATATTCTGGGTAACAAAATAGAAAAACTGAAAGAAAGGTTAAATGATAAAAACTGGATACACTACTGAGGTGTTCCGTTAACACAACATCAATGTAAACACTGGTGTGTGGCTTGTAAAAATGATAGAAGTATTAAAGCTCTAATAGGACTTCCAACCCGTCATTGTGAGACATCTAAAGTAGATGTCACTTTGCTTGTTATGGCATGATCATAGAGATCAACAAAGATAATGTAGCCCCTCGGAGTCATGTAGATGCCCATTATCATCACTATAGAGATAAACTCTGAAGCGATGGCCTGAACATGTTGGTGATTTCTATGTTGCAACAGCAGGACTTTCTTCCAATCATTGGTCTACATCTGTAATAGATGAGCCCTATGGAAGTTCTCACGGGTCATGAAGACCTGCAACTAACTCTAAAAGTGCGTCTGTGTCCTAGAAAATTCAAAACATTTGGGGTGAGGTAACTAGACAAGACGTGATCAATGAAAGTTCAGTGGCGTGGGGCTGTGGGCTACTGTAGTCAGTATCAGTCGCCTCAGAAGGAGACGGTGATATATAATGAGGTTCCCCGTGAAATTTGATTAAACACCTGTCTGTTGGGAGACAAATGAGTGGTCTAGGGTAGGGTTGTGCATGCGCTGTTGGACAAGATGCATCGACTTCTACCCAGGATCTTAATAAATTCAGTCATGTATCTATGGGGAATTGTCCGGATTATTTAAGTGACTAGGATTGATTCTTCAGTTGATCGCTCAATTGAGGTAGCAGATTTGTCTTTGAATATTGTTTTCTTGCTCAGTTGAGCCTTCTGCTTCCTCACTCTCATAGTGTTACTCACTCATTCACTCACTCAAGGCTTTGTCCCTTGGGTAGGCTTAGTTGGGTTTACTAAGCCATCAGGACTTATCTCTCATTTCTCTTTGATCTTTTCTCTCCGTGCTCCCCCTCAACTGGAGCATTCAGTAGGATGCATTCAACAATGTTTGGCGCTTGGGATGAGAACTTTGAAAACTCCCCCTAAAAAAACTGCATCCTTAAGAGAATCCTTGCGATTTACATTGACTAGCACGAGGAGGAGAAAAATGAAACTCCCCCTCAAAAGTTGCAAGTAGTGGTTTTTGTTACCCGGGGAGTAAAGTAGAAAAGCCCCCATTGGAATGTGCTTTCTTCGTTGTTTGGCACCAGGAGGAGAGAAAAAGAAACACTCCCCCTCAGAATATGCACTTGTTTTTCGTTCTTGGCACGTGTTGGTGTTGAGGTGTGCATTTGATGACTTTCAGCTTATTCGGGAGTGTACGTGCCGGTACTCCCTTTCATAATGTGTACCAGTCGATTGCTCACAGCTCGTCTTCATACCTGCCATGTGTGTGGAACAATCGGACCAGTTACCACACATGATGGACAACAGAACAGACTACGTCTTCTTTGGTACCCATTTCCAGATGGGTCCTTCCTTTGCAGCATCGAGAAACTGTTGCACTTTCTGTTTGATTTGGGATCCTACGCTAGCTGGTTGAGAAGAGTGTGACATTCTTAATTTCTCAGCTTCAGCCTTAGGAACCCGTTGTAATTTGATCTTTGGAGCAGGAGAGGTTTCACCAGCAGTGAGTTAATATTCAGACAGATAGTCTTTTAAGATTGTTTCTTGAGAGAGTCTTCTCAAGTATCTGAGTGAGTAAACCTTGAGGGGATACCTTAAGCATGGAAAATTATACTCCCCCTCAACGTTCACCTTCACAGAATTTGATTCCATTAGGCATCTCTGAACATTCACATTTTTGTCTTAGTTGGAGGAGGAATCAGACTTAGAGCAGCAAGTTTTTGTTGACTTAACGTAGTTCAGAGTAGAAGAGCTTGAACAGTGATGGAGTATATGGGTCTGAGCCCCAGGACCCACATACTCGGAAGAACAGAAAGCACAAGACAACAGAGTGGCGCCCTCGTCGGCCAAGACGCCCCCGTCGGCCGAAAAGGGGCCAACTCAGATTACGGTCATGAGCCCGAGGAACTCGGGTGCCCTCGTCGGCCGTGCCCTCGTCGGCCGTGCCCTCGTCGGCCACGCCCTCGTCGGCCACGAAGACCTCCCAGAATCGGATTCTATACTTACTCATTTGTACAGCCCATTAGAGGCTTTGTATTCGGCCCAGTAGCGGTCCAGTTGTAAATGGGCCTCCCAAGCCCAAGGCTTGGGAGCCCAACCCTAATTTTCTCTATAAATACTCCCCTTGGGAGTAGTTATAGGGGTTACGAAATCATTCTATTGAAGCATATTATTGCACTTCTCTCTCTAGCTCTCACTTCTCTCTAGATATACTCTATCATTTGGTGCTCTCGTTGAGAGCTAGAACAATCAAGTTAGCACCCTTCGTCGCTGCCAAGCACAGCTAACCACTGATCATGGGGAGAACTAAGTCAAACCGCAACCTCGTCAGCAAAGCCATCCCTGAGGACCAAGAGCCCAGGGAGCACGATGAGGACGCCACGGCCGACCAGGTCGGCGGAGGGGACCTCTTCCAGGAGGCCTTCAATCTCACAACGGACCTCCGCAACCAACTCAACGGCGGCGCCCCTGATGCCCGCCTCGGCTTGGACAAAAAGCGAGCTGAAAAGACGGATCACGCCCCGGCCCAGCCTATGGCCGCGGCCTCTCCGTCCGTGGATCCACAGGTCCAGGCCGCGCTGTCGGTCATCATCGCCAGCCTAGCTCAGAACCCCACCATCCTCAGCGCACTCTTGCCAAGGACCGGGGGAAACGTTACTCCGCCTCCTCGTCCCCAACCACTGGCCGACCAGGTAGGCTACAATGAGGGGGTTGTGGCCCAGGACACGGCGTCGTCCCACTCCCACCCTGCTTCCCCTCTTCGGCCCGGGCAGACCCCAGCGCGTGGAAAAGCCTCTGCCTTCAATAGGCTAGGTGACACGCGCCGTCGTCCGGTTTTGGAGAGGATGGCGGGACGGATTGGTGATCCTCGTCCTGGCTCGCCAAGGGAGAGTTTGGGGTCTGTGTCCCGGACAGCGGACCAGCCCCGCCCGGACAAGGGCAAGGGGAAGTTGCACGAGGATGACGTGCGTCACCAGATCAACGCGGCTCACAACGAGCGCCTGAGGAACCAGCCGGGTGCCGCCGCGGCCGACAGGGACCCCCGGGACGAGGTCATCGCCCAGCTGGAAAG